TACTTATATATATATATATATATATATATATATATATTCTCTATATCTAAATACTTCTATTTATATTAAAAGTTTTATATATCTAAATATTTTCTCAGTATCGAATATACTGATTTTTTCTATAAACAATTCCCTTACATTTCTCCATTCCCATTTTTACATGTTTTTTATAATGGTCAAGGTATTTGATCCTTCATCTTCAATATTACCTGTTGTTCTTACCGATATCAACTCGTCTCTAGTTGTAAGATGTCCCCTTCCGATATCTGATCTTCTTCACGATGTCCGATCTTCTCCTTGAGTTCCTCGGATGTACCTGCAAAAAGGACTCCGACAATCAAGTTAGTTACCTGTCCAAAATCTCATGTATCGTTTATATTATTACCTGTGGTGGTTTTCTGAGTAACCGTGTAACGGTTGTGTAGTTATCTTCCGAAGGTTATTTACGGTTGAGCCTTGTCTGATGTCATTGATATGCTGAGGTGTTCGCCCGACCTCCTTTGTCCGATATCACACCTCAGCATCTCATGTATTTACTTTAGTTTGACTTCGGTCAAATCATCTAATGAACTCGGCTGAGCTCGGCCTTAAGTCAGGTTACACCTGTTAATGAAGATCATACTTTTGAGCTTATTATTCAAACTCATGAGCAAGAGCGAGAAGACGCTAATGCTTGGAGGATTAGTATAGCTATAGATATATGGGTGAATGTTATTTTAGATATATGATATTATAGAGAATAATAATAATTATTATTATTATTTATTTAGACATTGTTGTTTTTTATTAATTTTGTATTTGACTCTTTTTAAATTTGAATTTATGAATTTTTTTTTTGAAATTTTATCATGTCAAAAATCCACGAAAATTCTACAAAATTCACAAAGTCTCGTAAAATCTATTAAAATCTTATTTTAAAAGTCTTGCAGAATCTATTAAAATCCTGATTTAAAGTCTTGCACCTGCAAAGTCTTAAAAGTCATGAAAATCTTGCAAAGTCTTTTAAAATTCGCAGGATTTTTTTTAACTAAAAAAATCCTTTAAAATCCTAATCCAATACAACCTCCTTAGAGTTAATGGTAAAATTTGGATAATATATAATTATATATAATAATAGTAATTCTAATTCCAATTAATAAAAAGAAATGAAACAATAATAAATTTATTGTCGTGCACATTTAATGTATAAGTGTAATTAACATTTTAGCACACGTATTACACTGGTCAAATTTAATATGCAAAATTTATTATTATAATTAAGTATCATAAAACATGTACAAAAATTATTCATATATATCACATCATTAAAGTAAAGAAATATTAAGATAAAATTTAATAATCTCTTGTGAAAGAAATTAAATATATTTTAGTATAATGATGACCAACATACAGTCCATGTAACTTAATTAAAATTTAAAATTCTTTCAATATCTTTACACATTTTAATAAGAAAATTTGTAATAATTATTTATTATAGGGCAGATAAGTTATAATACTTGTGCTATATTATGTTATAAATGATTCTTTTTAATAAATTTTGGATAAGAAACATGAATAATAAATTTACGGACCAGCATATTTAATATAATGTTCCAATAGGTTGATTTTTGTTAATAAAAAAAATAGTACTGTGTTTGATTGACAGAGAGAAATAGAAGAACAAAAATAAAGTGAAAAAAGAAAGGAATAGAATAAAAAATGAAATGATTTTATTAATTATTTAATTGAAGATATAATATAATAAAAAAGTATAAGTGTATTTTCTCTGATTTGATTTAGTAAAATAATATATATATATATATATATACATATATAAGGAAATAAATATCTTAATTTGAACAAAAATATAATATAATAAAAAAATAAAACTTAAAATATGCTCTCGATAAAATAAAAAAAATAGTCAAAGATACAAGAAAATTAGAAAATAATAATAAATTACTTTACCACTCAAAAATAAAACTAAACAAAATTAGAAATATAAAATAACTCAAGAGTGTTTTTATCTTTTTTAACTCAAATTCACGCATTCTCTCTTTTTCTTTCTAAATT